AAGAAATCAGGTGGTACATCTCTCTATGATACATAGTGATGCATGTCATAAAATATTGCTTTGCTTCTCCATCCCACCTTAACCTACATGGCTTTTTCTCCTTTTTTGCCACCCGTTCCTCTGCAAACTGAAACAAAGTCAAAATGACCCAAAGGTTTTGTTTTGTTTTCTTTTGTAATGGAAGCTTAAAGTGGCTTTTAGATTGTCCATTGTAGGTAATTCTCTATTTTGTACTGTCACTCGCTGCTTCATTGTAGGTAGTTCTCTATTTTGTACTAAGATTCCACTCACTGATTTCCACCACTCCACACACACACCTCCTCAGAACGGAAGGCAAATTGGGTTTTGATGGCAGCAGAGGATGGGTTGGATTTGGATACCAGGATTCCCATCAGATTGTCATCAGTTTTTCAGGGAAAACTCACAAGGGTGCTTAACCTAGGTATGAGAGCCAGTTTGGTGTAGTGGTTAAGAGCGCAGACTCTGATCTGGGAGAACTGGCTTTGATTCCCCACTCCTCCACATGCAGCTGGTGGGTGACCTTGGGTCAGCTGCAGTTGTCTCAGAGCTGTTTCTCTCCAGAGCAGTTCTCTCAGAGCTCTCTCAGCCCCGCCTACCTCGCAGGGTGTCTGTTGCGGGGAGGGGAAGGGAAAGAAGACTGTCAGCTGCTCTGAGACTCCTTCACATAGTGAAGGGTGTGGTACAAATCCAATCTCTTCTTCTCTTCTTCTTCTGATTAGATTTGCATCTTTCCTTCCTCACCTTTTGGATACAACTTGTGTGGCACAGCAAGGGCTCTTTTTGTAGCAGGAACTCCTTTGCATATTAGGCCACACACCCCTAATGTAGCCAATCCTCCAAGAGCTTAAAGAGCTCTTCTTACAGGAGCTACTGTAAGCTCTTGGAGGATTGGCTACATTAGGGGAGTGTCGCTTAATATGCAAAGGAGTCCCTGCTAAAAAAAAGAGCCCTGGAGCCTGGCACTCATTGATAGGATTAGCTCTCCTATCGCTCTTTTCCGCCAGTGGGTGAAGAGTTTTTTTTTGTTTCATCTGGCATTCCCTCAACAATCCCTTCTCTCTTCCCTATGTTTTAATTGAGGTTTCTGTGTTTTTTATGTATGTATTTTAGTTTTGATCTCAATTGGTCTCGCAATACCGTTTTTATAGTGTTCATTTTTGAATGGTGAGCTGCCTCAGTGGTCCTGATTGGGCAGAAAGGCAGGATCTAGATTTTGTAAATAAATAAGAAACAGAGCAATACAGATGGAAACCAGTATTAACAAATATAGAAAATCCCATAGGGACCTGGAAGAATTGCGCTAGAAACCCATGCTATATAACAATCAAGGAAAAATAAGAGTCTTCATAGACGGAGTATCATCTTCATACTCTTTTACTCGTAGATAACGAAACTTTCAGGAATTGCGTTCCGTTTAGTTGTAAACACTTCTCCTGAACAATGTGTCGAATATTCTTATTTTAATGGTGTATTCTCGGAACGCAATTCTGGAAAGTTTCATTAACTACAACGAGTAAAAGAGTATGAAGATGATACTCCGTCTATGAAGACTCTTTTATTTTTTCTTGGTTGTTATATAGAATGGGTTTCTAGCGCAATTCTTCCAGGTTCCTACAGGATTTTCACAGGGCTATTTTTGGGCAGGAACGCACAGGAACGGCGTTCCGGCTGGCTCCCGAGTTGTCCACGCCCAGCAGGAACTCATTAGCATAATAGGCCACACCCAACAGCAGGAACTCATTAGGATTGGCTACATTAGGGGTGTGTGGCCTAACATGCAAAGGAGTTCTTGCTACAAAAAAGCCCTGGGTTTTGACAACAAATAAGGTAAACAGAATAACAAGCAAAAGGTGGGTGTGGCTGGATAACCACACTTCTGGTAACATGGGGGTGCGGCCTAATGTGCTAATGAGCTGTGCTGTCAGGGGTGTGGCCTAATATGCTAATGGGTTTCTGCTGTTGGGTGTGGCCTATTATGCTAATGAGTTCCTGCTGGGCTTTTTCTACAAAAAGAGCCCTGATTTTCTATATTTAATAAATAATAAACAACATTATCTGCTTTCCTCTCTCATGCTACTGTGACCCTCAGAATGTCGTGGCCTTCATTTGGGGATCCATGCTGCTTTGTCCTTTGAGGTGCTGAGTTCAGCTTCTAAATGACAGTCAGTCAGCTATGGGCGATTCTGCATCTGGCATTCGCCCCACATTTTCTCAACCCTGAGGGAAAGGTACAGCTCAGAACCACGTTCAAATACCCTGGGGCAATGCCATACTAACTGTGATGTCACCCCTGGACAGCCATCAATCTATGCAGAAGATACCATAAAACCCAGTGATCAAAGAAAGTAAAAGCAGCCTGCAGTATAGAGGGTACCATAAAATCTGATGAGCAAAGAAAGTGAAAGCAGCATGCAATGCAGGGGGGTATTTTATGTTCCAACTTGGGTTTGGTAAAACAACGAAGGGGAAAGTCAATACAGAACTGCCCTGTAGCTCATCAGAGTATCAGATTCAAGCTGCGGTCACACACACACACACTAAATAATCCACTTCCAATCCACTTTCAGTACACTTTCCAACTGGATTTTGCCAGTTCACCCATTAAAATCCAGTGCACTGAAAGTGGATTGGAAGTGGATTATTTAGTGTGTGTGACCACAGCTGACTGGGGAGATCCAGGTTCAGATCTCCACACTGCCATGGAAGCTTGCTGGATGACTTTACGCCAGTCACTCTTTTTCAAACTTGTCTGACTTGCAAGATTGTTGTGATCATGCTAGATTGCCACCCCCAGCGTTGGTTGTGCTGGAAATGACGCCATCACACTGGGACACTGCCAGCCCAGGAAATCCCTACCTCTCCCTTCTCCCACTGGTCCTCAGCCATGGGCTGGCAACCCCATGTGCTCGTTGGGTTGGGTCCAGTAATCCCAGTGCCAGCTGGGAAAGATCGAGTTATGTAATGCCAACATGGGCAAGCACAGTTACATGGTGGGGGACCTGCAAGGACTTGCAGTGGGTACCTCATTTCCCCCTGTATCCTCCTCTGCACACTATTTCCTTCAAGCAACCCCCGTATCTTGACCTTTCCCTGCTTCCTTCTCTCCTTCCCTCTCATCATCCAACCTACCTATTATCTCCCTCCATCTTCAGTTATATTTATTTACTTCATTTACACCCTGTCTTGGTGTAGTGGTTAAGTGTGCAGACTCTAATCTGGGAGAACCAGGTTTGATTCCCCACTCCTCCACTCGCAGCTGCTAGATGACCTTGGGCAAGCCATAGTTCTATCAGATTGTTGCGGCTGCTTAGCAACAGCACTAGGCATATTTGTTTCTTAAAACTACAGACACTGCTTCTATCATTTTAGAAGTTTTAATCACACACACACACCCCGGTGGTGGTGGTGGTTGTTTAAGATTTCAGATTTTTCTGCAAACCTGGGGCTGTTTCCAGGTCTGTAGAAATATATGTCTTGTCTGTTCATGGCTCTAGTCTCCAGATTTAGGTATCTGTCATGTTGAGAATTAGATACATAGATAATATTATTTGTGCTGAAGATATTTGGCTTAGGTTTCCGACATCTCTGTGCAACTTATCTTTAAATATAGGAATGAGAGAAAGTATAAATGGCTAAAATTACATCTCTAGCTTCTAAACTACGTTGGAGATGAAATAAATGGATTGGATCCTTTTGCTGTATTTGTTGGCAATGTCCTATCATTAAAATATTTGGGTATAATGTTTTTAGTATGTTAGAGGTTAATAGTGAATTGCAAATTCTCACATCCCCAAATACTTTTGTTGGGCTATATACAAAGGAGGTAAAAAAAGAATATGAACATAAAGAATCTCTGTCTATAACTGCTAGAATACTGTTAACAGAGAAGTAAACACATCATTCTTTCCAGGCCTGGTTTATTATGTTTACAGATACATTAACAACGTGTAAATATCTGTGAGAAAACAAGCTATATTTTCAAGAAATATTTATCTCCAGTTGTTAACCTGTTATTCTGTTTTGGAAGATCAAGCCAGATGATTTTGTAAGACATGACATTTTGTTATGTATGTAACATTTGTATTTCTCTCTCGCTCTCTCTATCTATATATCTCTATCTATCTAACTATATCTCTATATCTATATATATAGGCTGTAATAACTCATTTGGGGGATGAGAAAGAGGTGCATCCAAAAGCATGTGCACACACTAGGAAGATGCTCAGGTGTGCTGTAGACGTATGCAGTGGGTGAAGCAATGATAAGCACTTGGCTTTACAACTGACAAAAGGAAGTGGTGCTTTACATAATTAGCAGTTGGCTCGTGGAACCCAAGATGTGGTGACGAGGGCCAGTGGACTGGGACCTCCAAGTGCAAAACCCAAATGCTTCTGATTATTAGAGGCTGCTTATGGACATCCTCGCAGTATCTGATTGGCCACAGCTGGAAACAGCATGCAGGGCTAGATGGACCTTTGGTCTGATGGGGCCAGGCTTCTCATATATTATGTTCTTATGCCTAAACTCTTATTACAACCCTTTTCCACGTGTGTTTTGCTCTCTCTAGTGGTCAATTCGATATTACATCGCTGTATGTCCAGCATATCTCCCTGCAGATTTTATGCGGGACATACAGTGATGTAATATCGAATCAACCACTAGAGGGAGCAAAAACATGCAGTAATTTTAAAAAAACCCAAAGCAATAGGGACACATGACAAAAATGAGAAGGCGGGAGAGCCCTTTGTCTTTTAGGTCATTTCCAGGACATCTTTTATGCTAAAAAACTAATCTTCTCTAACAAGGGTGCCTACAAAGTTCCCTTTGCCTTTGGTGATGGTATCTGCACAGTGTTAATTGTCCAAAACAGATTTGCTAGAAACACAGATGGGCGTCTACCACCTCTTCCAAGGTATGATGTGGTACCATGCTTCCAAACAGCAGCCTTTTACAATTCTCTCTCTCATTTTTCTCTCAAGGTCTGTCAAAATCCTTGGGCCTCATTGAAGGCTATGGTGGCCGTGGTAAAGGTGGACTACCTGCTACCCTCTCCCCGGAGGAGGAAGAAAAAGCCAAGGGTCCACATGAGAAATACGGCTACAATTCCTACCTCAGTGAGAAAATATCACTAGACCGCTCCATACCAGATTACCGGCCAACCAAGTAAGTGTCCCAATATTATATAGCATATGTTGGAGTCTGATGGTCAGTTTGATGTGTAAGTGACAAGGTCACTGACCGAATTCCAGCTTCTCAGAACTGGGGAGATTCTTTCTGACAGAGCAATTGGTTGGTTGCCTGCTGGCTGTAACCTCCTTGAGATATGTCTTGAGCACATTTGCAGGGGAAACAGAAGAAATATAAACTGTATAACTAATTTGTAGCAATATATCTTGATTGTTTGCATGGTGAAACTGACTAATGAGAAGATTTACCTAAAGTGAACTCTCAAGCTGCAAAAGAAAAACAACAACAACAACACACATTTGTTCATATATTATTTCATTCTTCCTTCTTTTCTATGAACCTCTACTGATACTTGATAAATGACTGATTAAGAATATAATCTGTAGTTACAAATATTGACTATCTTTATTGTCTTAACTGATTAGTGAAAGTTAGAAGTAATGGTTGGGTTATTTGAAGCAATATGTTTTGGATGTTTGTAATGTTCTAACTGATGGTTGATAAAAAAAAATTATAGGGTAGTTTTGACTCCTAAAGTGTAGACTATATAGTGTGTGGTGAAAGTATATTGGCATTGTAAAGTTGAGAGCTGATGCTATGGAGAAAATATAAATTACTACGTTTAGGTTGGCAAACAAAGGGGATGTTGAAAGCTAACAATGCTAAAAATATGAAAGGATATCTTAAAGGGACTAGATTGATATTATATAAGAAATTTGAACTGTCTAACTGCTGTGCAATACCTGTGTTTTTTTTTCTTTTATAGTTTTATTGTTATAAAATTGATTAATAATAGTAATAGAAGATAGGATATAGAAAAAATGAATTGTTTATTGGGAACAGAATTTTACTTAATGACATCTGTTGTGGACTATAGATTAACAAAGGGAAAAAGGGAATTATGTATCTAAAGATGTTATGAACGAGGCAATGGCTAGATACTTTTGAAGTGTATGGCTCTCTCTTTTTTGTTTTATATAACTCTTTAAAAAACTAATAGACCTTGCCCATCAACAATGGGCAAGCAGGGGGAAAAAAAAGAGATATGTCTTGAGCTTGGGTTAGGTTGGTTTCAATCCTGTCTACCCTCTTATTGTGATACTGATCTGATCTGGGGATTCGCATGAGCAAAACATTGTATTAAAGGATGCTGGTGAGATTTAGTTGTGTAGGTCTACCAGCTGTCTTGTCAGTTTGACTCAACATGAGTCATTTTGACTCACTGGCAGCGCAGCATGCAACCTTCAGACAATCTGCATGCATTTTGCATCAGCTCTGCCCCAGTGGTTTGGCTTTTTAAAACATTCCCAGTCACCAAGGGACAGCCTGTGCACATAGGTGGGAACTGCACATAGATGGGAAATATGACCAGCAGTGTTCACTCTAACCTGAGTTAGTGTGAGCTAGCTCACAGTTTTTTAGCCTCTGGAGCACACGGTTTTGTCTTAGCTACTCAGTTTTGGGATGGGCATGGGATTGGTGTCAAGGGCTGGGGATTTACCAGGCAAATTGCAAGCATGGACTTTGTAATGCGTGGATTTGCCTGTAGCAGCTGAGTGAATGGTGGTGCCACTTTGGTCTGTACACATCTCTTTCACATGCACTCCACCAACTTCTGTGTATAACAATAATGCAAGCTTTGAATCAAAAATTCATTTGTCACAGTACCAAAAAAGGAGGGGGGACGCGATGAAACCTTGGCTTTAGCTATTAACTCCTTGTAAGTGTTGCAAGGTAACACTTATAACCTTTCTTCACCTTCTAGCAAGGCCTTGGGTAGCTGTCTTCAGAGCTCTTTGTCAAATATATGGTTCATCTCTGGGGGAGAGAGAAAGAGGGAGAGACAAGCATAAAGTTGCAACTGACAAATAAATTCCAGGTCTGGAATCACTGGCTCTGATATTAGAGCAATGGTCGCTTAACAGTAAATGGAATCCGGCTTCTCTGTGGGTCCTTACGAGATGGCCGGATTCTAAATGTGGCTTTGCGGCGATGGGCACTGGTGTAAGGTGGCTGTTCTGCTGAAACAGAGATGATCCATAATCTTATAGAGCCTGTAGGCACTTTTGGAACTTTGAGGCTAGGGAGTGGGTACTGCCACACAATGGTTGCCACAGAGGGAAGCACAAAACAGCCACCAGGAGGTACTGGGGTCAATCACAAAATACTGGGAGGTTGCAACCCAGCGTCTTCCTACAGCAGAGGCAATCCCTAGGGTTGCAAGCCCAGGTCCATATAGTGGTTGGAGCATTTGGGAACCAAGAAGTGACATCATCATGTTGTGTGATGCTCTAGGACTTCCCCAGATCTCTATGGTAAAAACCATAGAGATCAGGGCAACTCCTAGAATGTCGCAAGATATCATGATATGACTTCTGAATTTCAGCTGGTAGTGATGTTGCATGGTTCTCCTTTCTTCCATTGTATCCTCACAACAATCCTATAAGGAACGTGTTTTTTTTTATTTAAACAAATCCTATAAGGAATGTTAAGCTGAGGGCTCAGAGGTCCTGAAGACCATGCATCTGCATTTGTCTATAAAATGCCAAAAATGCAAGTTCCAGTGCAGTATTATCAACTATGACTAGTAGATGCTCTCCAAGATCTTATTTTTTTTAATGAGTTTAATTAAGAATTTTAAAGAAAACATAAAAAGAAGAAAGGGGGGGAGAGAATACAGTTAAAGCACTTGAATAGAAACAAAAAAAGGAATAACTACCAATTGTTTCCTGTGACAGAAAAATATTCATTTACCTGTTACACCCTTACTCTAGGGCTGCAATAGAAGAAGTACATCTCCTTTCCCTGCAGTCTTACATTTTTACCTCTTAATCTTCAAACCCACAGATCATCAGTTTATGCAAGAAGTCTGTAAGGGGCTTCCAGATAACAATACATTTGGAAAGGGCCTTTCCCCTAACCAAAGAAGTAAGTTTGGCCATCTCTGCTAGCGCCATCGTCTTTACCAGCCATTTCTCCATTGTAGGTATTGTTGAAGTTTTCCATTTTTGAGCATATAATAGTCTTGCAGCCATTGTCATAGACAAAAACAAAGTTCCACGTGTGTTTCCTATTTATCCATTAGTCCCATCAAAAAAAGCCTCCCCTGCTCTCCAAGATTTTAGACAGAGAAAGATCTCTTGCTCAGACCGGCTACTTGGAGCCCTTTATTGCTGGTGGCAGTAGGGACTGAATCTGGGGATATCTGTATGCAGAATGGATGCTCAGTTATGGCCCTTTCACACACTCCCATTGTGTCTGTTTCACAGTGATTCCCCTTGCTCATTGGGACTTCCCCAGTAACTCACTGTCCATATTTTGCACCTGTTTTTCTCCTGCAGAGGATGCCTTCTTAAGCAGCCAGTGCGTCAGACCCCCATACGTACTCACTCCCAACAACACTCTTCATGTGCAAGATTTGTTTATTGAGATATGCAGTTGATACAGGTGCAAGTCAACTTGTGCCAGAACTGGAGGCCCACTATTATACCCATTTCAAACTAACCCCCCCCCCATGCCATGGTCCAGTCACACTGGTCCCACCAAGCCGATGCGCTGTCTTTGCCCCCCCACACACACACACCTGCAAACTACAAAGTGTATCTATAGCAGCACTCCTGGCAGCAAAGGCTTCAGGGACACTTCATCTTCCCTCCTCAGGAGGCCACTTGGGAAATTGTTACAGGCGTCTAGCAAAGCTCATTCCCACACATTCCTTCCCCCAATCACTCCCTCCTTCCAGCTCAAAGCAAAAGCATCACAGAAAACAGAAATCATCATGGCAAACGAAGTACTGAGTTTGACACATTGTGGTACAGTGGTCAGAGTGTTGGTTCAGGATCTGGGCAGGCCCGTAGCTATGGTATGGCTTTGGGGGATTCCGTCCCCTTTCTTAAGGGCACAGCCTCACAATAATTTCTCCTGTAGATGCTTTTTCCAATCACTTAAAATCTTTTTTTAAAGGTGTGCCCTCCTTTAAGCAGAGTGGGGCGCTTAGTTGACTGATTCCACACTGAGCCAAGGGGGTTGGAGTAGGTGACCTCTAGGATCCCTTCTAACTCTCTGTCAAGAAACTGGTCTCCTTTAAGAGAGTTTTTCTTGATGTCGTGGACCAGCCTCAGCCTGAGGTGCAGCCAGACTCTGACTTGCTGCCTGAGCCCAGCCTGGGTGAGGACCAGTCTGACTTGCAGCCTAACCAGTCTGATTGGCAACTGGAGCCCATTGTGAGTAAGGACTCCTCTGAAGCCAAGCCTGAGTCCAGCATGGCAAAAGATGACTTCAGAGGACATTCAGGAATTCCAGTCAGATAATACTGAGCCAGCTGAAGTCCGGGAGCAAGTACCTCCAGAGGCACGCACAACTCCCCCAGATTCTCCCCCCCCATAGAAAGAAGGGCTAAAATCAGAAGGCATTTGCAAGAACACAGACAGAGTGAAAGATTAATGGCCTGTCGACAGCTAAAGATGAGTCATTACAGGAGCCTTGATAACTTGCCAGCTGCAGGTAAGTCTAATTAGGGAAAAGCTACTTAAAGCTGGATGTGAGCTGTGGCCAACTTGTGGAAGCAACACGTCACCTCCCAGTGAATCCTGCAACCACAACTCCTGACTCTGCTTTATTCCTGTGACTCTTGGACCGGCTTGACTATGCTTTTGGACTCTCTCTGACTGTAACAACTGACCATGGACTGTTTGGACTGTGCTGTGAACATTCCTTTGACCTGCTCCTGCCTTCGAGACCAGCTGGGCTATGACACTTGACTATAGAAGTGATCACCTCCACCTGCCGGCTTGTTATCAGAATTGTTGCTTAGGCTGGCAGAAGTGATTAACTTGCAGCAGCTGAGAACTACCATCTGAGAACTGCCTCTGGAGGTGGTGGATGCTCCTTCGCTGGACGTTTTCAAGGGGAGGCTGGACGACCATCTTTCGGGTATGTTGTAGGGCTGTCTTCCGGCTACGCTCCTGCAGAGTGCA